ACACACACACACTTTCAGTTATACTTCATGCTGCATACTCATGTAAACATACTACTCCGCGACCAGATAACGCGCTCTCGCAAACACTATACTCAATTTCCCACCTAGATACTCCTTCGAGAATCATCCTCCTTCGAGAATGAGCTTCCTTCGAGAACATTTTGATTCCTTCTTATACCATCCTCGTACACGACATCATCAATTTACAACATCGCGATAAGATATTATATTTTCTATTACATAAACGTTGTTACTCTTTAAATCGAGCGCCATCCATTACCTACATTTATTGTATGTAGCAATTCGCTACAAATGTGTGCAGGAACCATATCTCATTACTTTATATAGTTTATATTGTTATAGTCGTTGCGTTTGTTATAATGCTTTAGAACTATAGAGGAAAACACGGATATTTTTAATGCAAATTACGGTTTACAAGAATTTTTATGATTAAGAAAAACGTTCGCGACATTACTTAGTCACAATGTCAATCGGAGTTCCCATTAAAGTGCTCCACGAGGCTGAGGGCCACATCGTAACTTGTGAGACGAATATCGGCGAGGTATATCGCGGAAAATTGATAGAAGCCGAGGACAATATGAATTGTCAAATGCAGAACATTACAGTGACGTATCGGGATGGCCAAGTGGGGCAGCTAGAGAATGTATACATTCGCGGCTCAAAAATTAGGTTTCTCATATTACCAGATATGTTGAAGAACGCACCTATGTTCAAACGACCTGGTGGTAAAGGATCGGGCACAGCTGGTAGAGGAAAGTCCGCAATATTACGAGCTCAAGGTTTGTGTATTCCTGCAAACATTGTTCAAATTAATAGACAAAGTTAAGATGACCCTACGTGACTAATAATAATGATCAATAATATTAAATTAGTATTACTGACACTATGCATCAATATTTTCAGTATTTTTTCAATTTTATACACGATCAGTATTATTGATAATATATTTCTCTTTAGTTTTGTGTACATTATTTATTGCATTCTGACATACTTGTGGCATCGATCTTAATAAAGCAATATTGCTCGAGAATCGAAATTTAGATCAGTGTTCTTTATCAATCCATCAATATTATATACATAATCGATAATATTGTCAGTGTTTGTTAATGTTGATAGTTTTATTGATCGTGCAAGATCGCCTTTATACTTCTGAAAAACATAGGTATTTGTAAAAGAAAGCAGAAGAAGGCTAATATTTGTTTCTATCCATGCAGATTAATTTTAATTGATTCGAGTTTCTTTTCATCTTTTCCTAATTTTTAAAATTAAAAGAAAGTGAAGAGTAAATTGAAGATTAATGTTACTTTATATTAGTAGAGAAACTTGGGTCGTATTCTGATATACGCTATTAATTTTGAAAATCTTATGTAATAAAATATTTCCAGCTCGTGGCAGAGGAAGAGGACAAAATCAAAGAGGCAAAGGTACTGGTTCGGCACCTTGGCTGAATCAACAGAATCAACTAGGTGGATCTCAATCTGGAAGAGGCAGGGGATAAATCTTGTGATAACAAACTTTTTGATTGTATTTACAATTATTGTATGAAAATCAACCTGCGGTGAACGGAAAGAATTTAAAGTAAAGTAGATAATAAGGCATCATCATTATGTGATAATGATTGTATATTTCAGCAAAATGTGAGGATGAATGGACTTTTAAGCTTTAATAAAAGTAAATACGTTTATTTTTTTTAATCAAAATTCGCATAAAGCATTCCCTTTCAGAAATTGAGATATTTTAATGAATTTACATAGTGATGTAACGTAGTGTAACTTAATATTTGTAGGCATTCAGCATAGTCTGCCATTTTATTTTACCAGCTTAACATCGCGATTAATCGAAGCATCGTGTTTCCATCATGCAAATCAGTATTTCATGTGATCTTAAAAGCATATCAATTCAAAAAACATCATCGATTGCATGAAAACGCAGTAATATGAAATGTTTAGCAAGTCATATTAAAGAACTTTACAACAATTGTAAAGTTGCTTTTCCGCAACCATTCATGTTACATACATATTTGGCATACCCATTGGTCTGTTTTTTATTCCTATAATTAGAACTTTTTTCTCATTTTTTTTACAAGAACAAATCAATTATTCCATTTCTGAGAGTTTGAATTTATATTGCATACAACAATGTAGATAATATACTAATTAATACATTACAGTATTGCGTGCACGATATTTTTTTCCAAGAATAAAGATGTGAGGAAATAATCAAGTCAAATAAAAAGTAATTGTGTATTAATATTTATCTAGCAATAAAGACGCTTAAAAGGATGTTTACATAAGAAATAAAGAAATTTATTTCATGATTCCAAAAGAATTAAAACGGAGAATTATGTAAAGTTATTTCCACCATTTCCACCAATGTAGATTAACTTTAATCTCAATTTACTCTTCATCTTTTTCTAATCTTTAGAACTAGAAAAAGACAATAAATTACACCGAGATTAAAGTTAATCTGCGTTAGAAACGGACTTTAGACATCGATCTTTTTCGATATATCGATCGATACACTTATTGGACAAGTTCAAGACGAGAAAACGGCTAGGCGTGCTTTCGAGAGAATGAGAATAATTGATTCTTATCTGTGGATCCAACCAATCATGTTTAATTGCTTGGCGAGCAGACCTAGCCGCTTTGTCGACTTGAACGGGCCCATTGATTGTATCTCATCATGGCTGCGTTTGGATTCCCACTTGGGTGCTCTCTGGATGTCATATCATTCTTGTTGTTTACGAAACATTAAACAAGAATGACATGACATTTGAGGGCATCCGGGTGATGTTTCTAAACGCAGTCCATGGTATAATAATATCAGATGTTCCGTTGCGCATAATGGCGATAGCAATATCGGAAACAACCAATCAAAATTTTGTCCAAATTTATGCTGCTAATGTGCAACCACTGGAACGAAATACCTAGTATTCTTACATCATATATTGGCTTCTGCACATTGGATGCGGAAACGCTTGCTAAGCGGCAAAATGTGATGCGGTAGCCAATAAGCTTACAGCTCTTAATGTTCATTGGTTACCGCGTCTAGGTGTCTCTATCGACGTGATCGGACGCGTTATTGCGTCATTATTTTTGGAAAGTGTGACCGGCTTCAAACGCATAATTGAGTTTATGTTACTCTTTTTAGCCTTTCGTATTCTGCATTTTTTTGTTACTCATCGCATAAGCGGCATTTTCGATTCTGGCCATATCGACTCTGTTAGAGTTGAAGCCATTCTCACAAAGAAGTTATCGCGTCTCATTTTGTCGCGCGGCAAACGTTTCCGTGTCCAGTGTGCAGGAGCCATATTTCATTAGTTTATATAGTTCATATTGTTATAGTCATTACGTTTGTTGTAACGCTTTTGAACTATAGAGAAAAATTACGGTTTACAAAAATTTTTAAGATTAAAAAAAGCGTCCGCGACATTATTTAGTCACAATGTCAATCGGAGTTCCCATTAAAGTACTCCACGAGGCTGAGGGCCATATCGTAACTTGTGAAACGAATACCGGCGAGGTATATCGCGGAAAATTGATAGAAGCCGAGGACAATATGAATTGTCAAATGCAGAACATTACAGTGACGTATCGAGATGGCCAAGTGGGGCAGCTAGAGAATGTATACATTCGCGGCTCAAAAATGAGGTTTCTCATATTGCCAGATATGTTGAAGAACGCACCTATGTTCAAACGACCTGGTGGTAAAGGATCGGGCACAGCTGGTAGAGGAAAGTCCGCAATATTACGAGCTCAAGGTTTGTGTATTCCTGCAAACATTGTTCAAATTAATAGACAAAGTTAAGATGACCCTACGTGACTAATAATAATGATCAATAATATTAAATTAGTATTACTGACACTATGCATCAATATTTTCAGTATTTTTTCAATTTTATACACGATCAGTATTATTGATAATATATTTCTCTTTAGTTTTGTGTACATTATTTATTGCATTCTGACATACTTGTGGCATCGATCTTAATAAAGCAATATTGCTCGAGAATCGAAATTTAGATCAGTGTTCTTTATCAATCCATCAATATTATATACATAATCGATAATATTGTCAGTGTTTGTTAATGTTGATAGTTTTATTGATCGTGCAAGATCGCCTTTATACTTCTGAAAAACATAGGTATTTGTAAAAGAAAGCAGAAGAAGGCTAATATTTGTTTCTATCAATGCAGATTAATTTTAATTGATTCGAGTTTCTTTTCATCTTTTCCTAATTTTTAAAACTAAAAGAAAGTGAAGAGTAAATTGAATCAAGATTAAAGTTACTTTATATCAGTAAAAACTTAGGTCGTATTTTGATATACGCTGTTTGAAAATCTTATGTAATAAAATGTTTCCAGCTCGTGGCAGAGGAAGAGGACAAAATCAAAGAGGCAAAGGTACTGGTTCGGCACCTTGGCTGAATCAACAGAATCAACCAGGTGGATCTCAACCTGGAAGAGGCAGGGGATAAATCTTGTGATAATAAACTTTTTTTTGATTATAAATACAAATGTACAATTTCATTCCTATATTTTTGTATAATTTCTAAACAGTATATTTCTGCATTCAAAATTGTAATCTATATTTTTAATGTGTGTGTGAGATTAATAATAAATCTATTGTATGAATATAGTATTAATAATAAATCTAATATCTATTACGTGTTTGTTGTGCTTATAAGAAGTGTCTCCTTTGAAGCTAAATTAGAACTAGATAATCCTAATTCATTGTCCGTCTTAAAATGACTAAGAAGACAGATCTTTAGATTTATCTTACGACTGATTTTATGACAAAATTTAATTTATTATCCAAATATACATAGATATGGAAATACTGAGAGTATTGCAATATTCTAAATAAATAATATTTAAATATTCGATTTATACCTGCAAAAATTCTAAAAAAATTAATTCTAAATTTTGTCGTGACAGTTTGAGAGATCAAAATGGGTATTTGTCAAATAAAATGTGGAAAATTAAATTTTATTATAAAAAAAGATAAAACCAAATTTATTATATTGTATATTATCAGCAAACAAATAAAATAATGATACGTAAAATAATAAAGCCTAATTCAAATAACCGCTGACAATATGGCAGCATATGGTGTCACGTTTTCATTTGCTGTTAGAAATGTATGTGCAAGAGCACACCCGAGTTGCTTCTATTATAGTATCTTACGGATCTCGTGTCACATTTGCACTTGTTTGCACTTGCAGTTCGTGATCGTACGGTTAACACATGTTTTTTTCGACATAACCAATCTTTAGTAGTACGACATAATCTATTGTAAATATAATTACAATTATGTTTAAAAACCACAATTCTCAACCACAATTGTTTAATGTAAATAGAAAACCCAGCCAACCGAAAAGGCGAAAAAAGATCACGCTTGTCTTCGATGAGGAGAAACGACGGTAATTATTGTGCAAAATCACATGTAATTGATATGTGCTTACATATAGTTGATACAAATTAATTTATATTTATCCAAAAATGTAGAGAATTTTTAGGAGGATTTCGTAAGAGGAAGCTAGAACGAAAAAGGAAGGCTCAAGAACAGTTACAGCAACAACTGAAAGAGGAACGAAAGAAAATTAAACAAGAAGTGAGTCATATATTATTTTAAAGTAAAATATAAGATATTTCTTGAAGAATTGGAGAAAGCATGATATTTCTTTTTAGGTACGAGAACGTTATAAGAAATCATTATCGAATCAAGTTGTCCCAGAGCTGGAAGAATTGTTATCTCAACAAGAATTTGATCTAGGTAGTCATACAGTTAGTGTTTTAGAGTTGAATGTTGCAGACCTTAAAGAAGGAAAAAAATGGATAGGTGAAAACAAAATTGTAGAAGAAAAAGAAGAGCAGGAAAGTGACAAAAGTTGTAATGATGACGATGGTGATGAGATTGTGGGAATGTCATTGCAAGAGAAATATAAGAATCAAGTGCAGCCAAAATCTAAACCCAACAGTCATGAGATAAAATCTGCAAAAGAATTAAAACAAGAAATAAAGAAAGCAGCACTAAAACACATAAAAAAAAGTAAAATATTTCAACAAAAACAGAGACTAGAACAACAAAAAAACAAAAAACAAAGTAAACAAAAATTGCAGAAAGCACAGGGGATAGTGCACAAACGTGGCAAGAGGAGTAAAAAGAAATCTAAACGCTAGGAAATTTGATAAATTTATTACACAAATTTTAAATAAATATATTTTGTAAAAAATATTACATTATAAACATGCATTTATCACTTCTTTGTTCTTCCACCTTTTGAAACAAACGGACAAATATCCTTATTGAGACATTCTGAACATTTAGGAAATCGAGGTAGACAAGTTTCTTGACCAAATCCTACGAGGAGATGATTTACTTCGCTCCACAAAGACTTAGGAAGCCAATCCTCCAATTCATTTCTCGTCTGTTCCGGTGTGTTGGTTGATTTTTTCACCCATCCTAATCTATTGGCTATTCTGTGAACATGTGTATCCACCCCAATACCAGATACTTCTCCCCAGGCAGTTCGCATGCATAGGTGAGCCATTTTAGGACCTACTCCTGGCAACTCGCACAACTCTTTTACTGTTTTTGGTATGTCACCTCCATATTTATCTAGAAGGATCCCTGACGTCTTTTTTATATACTCTATCTTTTTCTAAAAAGAAGAGAAAAACACTTTTAATACAAAAATCATTAACTGTAAACTTAATAGGAAATTCATAAAAAATATGTATAATTACAAATAACTTAACAGTTTAACATATAAATAAAAATTAAAAATTACTAAAAAGAAAATACATCCTTAAATGAATAATAAATGAATTTATAAACATGACAAGAAGTTTGAGATAAGAAAAATATCTTGTTAACAAATAGGCATTGATCTTTACTTTCCAAAATCCAACTGGATATATAAGTTTGCCTAGAACATCATCAGGGGTAGCTGCTATAATATTTGGTTTACAACCATAAGTGTTCAGACGCTGCATAGCAGCATGGGTGACTTGGTCTTTTGTCTGACTACTCAGCATCAGAGCTACTAGCGATTGATATCTAGATACTACAGGACTGGCATCAGGATCTGTACACTTGTGACAGCCCATTGTGTCAACTGGAGCTGTCTTGCTCTTTCTCATTTCTTTAATATTTTCAAGAATAGTTTCCCAATTCGGTGGCATCCACTGTTTCTTATCTTTAACGTTCTTTGGGTCCAATTTGAGTTCCACATTCTCGTTCTTTATCTCACATTCTTCAGTCTTTATATCTTGTACATCTATCGACAGCTCTACATCTTCACTTTTTATTGGCGTCTCTTTGACATTTGTTTCATTCTCTACCATTTCATGCTTGATCTTAATCGGTATATGTTTCTTTGTGCTGGTCCTCGCCAGTCTTTTCTCTTCGCCGCCGAAGTAGGATGACGTTTTCTCCGAGGAGTCTGCGTTAACGAGAGTTTTGCCCGAACGTAAAGTTCTTGATGCCGAGAGGCCATCCAGCTTCAACCGTTTACTCATTTTGTCAGACGAAACACGTTATGATGTCAACGCATCAAAATTGACTCCTGCGAGTAACAAGCAGAATGTTTGTACTTGAACTACGCAGTACGCCATTCGAAATTGGCATAACCATTCCCGCTCGTGCAGCTCGTATGATTGGACAGTTAAAGCTAAGTTTAGATTACAATGAAAACATCTGTGTAGTTTTCTGCACTATTCTGCACTTGAAATGAGATAGACGCACTATAAACGTTGAAAAGAAAAAAAGGAAAGGTTAAAAGTGCGGTCTATGGATGGAATGGATCAGAATACATGAAGGAAGTTATTTCACGTTATTCCAATTGCAGAATTAAAGCATATCCTGTTTATTGTATTTTCTTGTAACCAACGAAAATCGATTCATCACGAAACATTTCTGCAATATTGTAGAAATATCACTGTTGCGAAACAAAACGTCAACATAACCAAACAAAGGCGAATCAATTTAACATCAACTTCGAGGTTTGTAATTTGTGATATATTTAATGTATATTGAATTCATCATTTAACAAAATATGATAAATTTGTAAAATAAATAATTATAGCCAAGAATCCGCTCTGTTTTCGAAATGCATACCTCAAATAATTTTACTCTCCGCGGTGGTGATGCAGCATTCGCTAACAGGCAGCAGGCATTATTCGATCAGCTCTTGATTGCGGAAAGTAAGTGCAATAAACATGACAAACCGGAGACAGATAATACGGAGATGGTCGAACGAAGGAAAAGGCCAGCTTCAAGTGACGATCGGAGGCAGAAGAAAGAAACAAAGAGGTTTAGCGGTAAGGAGAGTATCTTTAAGCGCCCAGAAGGTCCGGCGCCACGCACGAATTTCAGAAATATTCCGGACTATCACAGAAATCCACACAAGTGGGTCAAGTATTCTCTGGATGATGTATCTAGCGAAGATATGACGGAGCACAGTAACACACAGGCTGCTATATCACTTCTACGAGAATTGAAAGCTCGTAGGAAGAAAGAGGAAATTGGCGAATGTGGGCAGGAGATGGACGTTGAGACTTGCGAATCAAATTCTACAGAGACGCTATTTAAGAAAAGGTCATCATTGTCGCAGATCATATTTAAAAAGCCACGAACGAGAGAGACAATGGAAGATATTGCAGAGCCAGACGACAAGCCTGTATTCAGAAGTAGCAAGATTATTTTGCCAGAATACGTGATTGGACAGAAACCAAAGAAGACATGTAAACAGAATCGACCAGTGATTAAAGTCGATCGCTCGAAAGAACTTAGACTAGATCATTTACAAGAACCAGATGAAGAGGAAGATGATTGAAATAAATGTACAGTGCATAAAATTGTATAAATGCAAATATAGAAATTGTATTTGTGGATATTCGCTTAAAAATAAAACAATTCACGAGCATTTATATAGATCCTCGTATTAATTACATAGAAAATTAGATTCTGGTGAAATTAATTAATTTTTACGTATATATAATTTGTAACGAGAGAGAGAGAGAGAGAGAGAGAGAGAGAGAGAACAAAACATGTTATTGACATAAGGCTCAAATAGATATAGAAATAGTTTTTGATGCTATAATGAATAGTTTTTGAGGTGTATTAAGGATGTAAAACTCTGTGAGAACCTTTTATACATAATAACTTAAAACCTATTCATTATTGAGGCTTGTGTTTATGAGGCTAGTCTTTTTAGCTAAATTTCTTACATAATTTATCCTTCCTCTTTTTTTATGCTGGAAAGAAGAGAAAAGGGATAAACTGTGCAAGAAGTTTAGCTAAAAAGAACAGACTAATGTCCACTTCTAACAATGTAGATTAACTTTAATCTCGGTTCAACATCATTTTTTTCTAATTCTTAGAATTAGAAAAAGATAACAGATAAGTTGAACCGAGATTAACGTTAACCCTACGTTGGCAGAAATAAACATTAATAATATCTTTTGTTCATCACATAGACTGAAAACTAATTCAATTGATCAGGATCCAATTTTTCATATAATTAGTGCGAGGTCCTATATAAACATGTATAAACACTCGTTGAAAGCAGTACATATTAATATTGTATCCACACAATATGTAGTATAAAAATAAAATAATATATACTGTATGTTTTAAGTAAACAATAAAATTCCCTCAATAAGATGAAGTATATAATTAAAAAAGCATACAACTAGATAGTTAAATTTTATTTTTAAGATACCTAAGTATCTAACTTATCTAGACTCTAAGTAATATACAAAAAAGAGAATAAATATAATTAACAAATACATTAATATTATTGTTTTGTGATACAAAGTTTTTTTTATCATTTCCTA